CTTCTAGAGCAAGAGAGAGGCCAAGGCAACACAGCATTAGTGCTTGCACTCCGAAGACAATGCAGAAGTCTCACATCAGTTATGAGACTTCACAGGCTGCAGGTTCAGAGGTCTGCAAGCTACTAGTATCCACTTGCTAAACCAAGCAGAATTATAGATTAGTAACACAGGACAGAAATAGTTCAGCATGCCTAGTGCTTCTTCTTCCTACCATAGCAGATTCTGCTGTAAAGACCTCTGATCCTTAAACCTTTAGAAACCAGACAAATGGATGGGTTTAATTTTATATGGGGGAATAAATACAAAATGTTGCAATTTGCACAACAAAAAGGCACTACAAACTCCTCCTTCATCTTTTTCCCTCTTCTGGAAGAAATGTCTCCAGTCAGTGAAAATTCAGATGGCAATTGCAAATAAGGCCCTGAACAACTTTACAGTGTCTTCAGTAGAAGTATGTTCCCTTAATAAGAGAAAGAAATGTTTCTTTGATTCTAAATGTTAATTCTCATTTAAAGCTCCCCCACATCTCTCACCTATGAGTGAACGTATTTCACACGGGTAAACTTAGCAAAGAATCACAGTCTTTTACTGGAAGTTATATTTGATGAAACAAGATCAAAAATGTCAACAGCAAACATGCTTAAAAGGTGCCATTTGAAAAATATTCCTTTGAACTCATTTGACCAAGGCTATTGTTTGGAGTTGAAAAAAAAAAATCACACCTGTGTGCAGGCAGACAGGCTCTCTTTATCTGGTAAGAACAAGGTGCGGAGACTTGTGCGATAGATAATTAATCTCAATTGCTATCTATAGTTTCATTGTTAACACTGTCTTGGTTGAAGTGTGAAAATATGTTCACACTTTTGAAAATGGGCGATTAACTAATCAAATGACAATATGAATCTTACAAATACAGAAATGACTGCAATCCAACACTACTTATGACTATATTTTTATTTTTAATTTTATAAGAAAAACAGTATCTCAAGTACCCTTCAAGACTATAAGGGAAGTTACCAGATCTTCCCCACTGTAATAATCAGTGCAGAAATTGTTACCACCATCACCTATTTCCACTAGAGCACCCAGTATTTTATCCTCAGGGAATTAACTGCAAGGAACATTTTCCTTGTATAGACAAGTTCCAAGAGACTGTAACAGACAGATGACATAAGCAGCACTGAATGACCAGGGGCAGATACTAGTAAGCAGTAGCCACTATCCCATTAAGGCCCTGTTAAGTAACAGTTGTGTGTATTAAGTACTACTGGTCTTACATCAATGCCCCAGGAGATGGCAAGTTTTCTGGATAAGTATGTCAGTTAAATGAAGCATACAGTACTAACTTGTATCGAAGTGCTACACAGCAAAAGCCCCATACATTTCAGCATAACTTCACAGGGCTGCAGAACTTGTGCAAGAGTTATATTAAAAAAGATTTGACTAAACAAAATTACATGCTCCAGATGTCATTTCAAAACTCCCTCCTGGGATAAGATGCAAGTTAGACCTCATGTTTAAGGAAGACCCACTTAGCACTTTTTTTTTCTTTTTTTTAATGAAACCATCCCTTTATACCCTTGGATGCTCCTACAGGACAGAGTTCACATAACAGGCACTTCTACATTAATGAAGGAAGTAAATCTATCTTTTCTCTCTATATGTAGGTTGATGATCTTATTAACATCTAGACTGCATATAAAAGCATGCAGAACATGTATTTACAAAGTGTTTAGCTTTTTTACGTATGCTACTAAAATTCCTGATACGGCTCTTAACACTTCACATCTCTAACACAGTAACCTCTTTTCTGGTTGTGAAAATTCTTCTGCTTATATTCATTCAAACTGCTATAGAAAATAATTTTCTTGTGTCACTGATTCAGCCACTGCACCACCTCCTGGGATCACTGCACTGACTCCCAAGTCAGACACAAGCTATTTATCTTACTTTAAAGCCCTTAGTAGACAGTTTTTGTCTTACTGTCTCACTTATGCCATTCCTGCTCCACATAATGTCAGTCTCATTTACTTATCTGTCAAGATAACATTTTCTCTGATACTTTCTCATTTCCAATACTTTCTAATAGCCCCAAATAGTGTAAGACTATTATCAGACCCAAATCAGCATATGTCCTCACTCAAAAACTATTTCTGCTCCAGGACAAAGTTGTTCTATCCATTTTTTTCCTTTGTATTTGTTTTTATTTCTCCAAGATGTCTCTTACTCCCTTGCAGTTCTTAGCATTCTTCCTTCTTGCCTGTCAGACATGAAAATAAGACTTGCAGAAAAATGCTGTTTCTGCTTTCCAGGCCCGTTACTGGAAGAAGCAGCAGCAGAGGACAACTTCCCCAAGTTACAAAGTTGTTGGACTTTTCTTTTCGTATTTATTGTCTTCATCAAAGAACAGAAATACTACTTCAAAGCAAAGTTCTGTCTAGCCTAGTATCCTGTCCCTGAAAACAATGAAATTAACACAATACGCAGAGCTGACATGTAAGTTCAAAGATCTTAATCTTAAATAAAATAAAGCTTCACAGTTCTGATTCTGCATATATAAACACCAGTAGCCAAGAGTTTAAGAGCAGCAAAAATTACTAACTTCAATTTTTTTATTTAAATTCAACCTACTGTTTTAAGTGTACATGCTCCTTTTTGGTTCTCATGCTGAAAGTTCCTTTTTGTATCATGTGTTTTCTTGTATTTTCTCATTGCATATATGTAATAACTCTTCACAGATTGGCTGGTATCCTTTTTTTTCAACACTCTCTTACATTCATTGCAGAAGTGGCATAGTCCAAAACCCCTTAATAAAACAAATACAAACAAATTGATATGTTGCATTTTCACAGCCCTGTTCAATTAAAATTCTCAAATCTGCGTATAAAGATTAACTGAAGTGGTATAGTTTAAAGTTACAGAAAACAATTGTAATATCCACATTTTACTCTAAGGAATGAGATCAAATTTATGGATTAAAAAACCCCCAAACATAAAGACACTTAATGCTCTATAACAGAAATGCTCTAGATCAGTAAGGCCAAAGGCATTCGTGTGGAAGATTTTGCCTACATCACGCTCTACTAATTTCTGTGAACGTATCAGCACAAAGTACTTGGCTCTTAATGCGGCCTCAAGTTGAAACAATCCATTTTCAAATAAAGAGACTGAATTTTCGTACGGGGAAAATAATGTAAACCTGGCAAAAACCTGTGGACTTGAAACTCATACCTTTACTTAATGAATGTTCATTTTAAGAATAAATAACATGGTAATTACGATTAAAATTCCTCCTACTGATTTTTTTCTAGACTGCTTATTGTTATTTTCCAGAGCACATAAGGCCTATCTGGTGTTTGGGGAAGGCTCCTGGACTTCCCACTTCCCTGAGAAAGTAACATTTAAAGCTCACCTTTCCACTGAACAGGAAAGAATAATGCAGGATGACAGAGGAAATGCTACATTTAGAATTTTTGCAGCCTCGTGAAGAGGCTACTGCATAAAATGACTGATTTTCCATACCACCTGTCAGTCTAAAATGTTGAAGATAGGAAAAGAGGGTAGGCTGTTTCAGAATTCTGGACTGTATTTGTTAAAAATAAGTCCTGAGTTTCAGCTATGTCTCCTTGTTTTTCATCTCTTAGTTTCTGGGGAATCATGTTCTTAGGTCTTTAAATGTATGGCAATTTCTTGCATTTTTTTTATTCCATGTTTTGTTGCTGGAAGTGGTCAGCCTTGCCTCATGCCACTAATAACTAAAGAAAGACTGATCAGTGAAATATACTACAGACTCATAAATAAAAGATACCACCAGAATTACTCCTTTGCCATTAAAAGTGTATTTTACATATGTCTCAATGCTTACTTACACAGGCAGACCAAAAGGACACACAGATAAATTAGTCATTTTTAACACTATCAAACTTTTAGTGATACTAACCAAAAAAGCGTTTTGTGTTCTTTCTATAGACTTAATTTCTATAAGGTTTTCATGAGCAACCATAGTTATTCAAATTTTGCTTTAAAACCTGCATCTTTTCAATAACCAGCCAGCCAGTAGTCCATATTTATTTCTCTATAGCATATTAAAAGCATCTGTTTGACCTTTTGATTGTTAGCATTTATTATGCAATGTTTTACATGGCAAGATCCTTCTCCTACATATACAATGCTTGAAAAAAAAAATGACAGGACATTCACACAATATCAAATGGAACTACTTGATACCCTTGATGCTGAACTGCACAAACAGAGGTAAAAAAACGTAAGCTGTGTGGAGTAACCCAGCTGCTGCATTTTGCTAGGCTGACCAGCATGCCATCGTAAGTTTCCATAATAGTATTTTGCCCAAGTTTCTGGTGGGACACTAAATTTCCCAGTTCCTCTGTCACCTGAACTACCTGTCACAGGAACATGGTGCCAGACACATACAGAGAGAGGAGAGAAGGTCTCCTGCCCGTAAACTGGGAAGCCCTTTTTAAAGGGCACAAACCAACCCATGGGTAAAAATGGCCACCATTGTAATTCTCTCCCACTGCAAGCCCTTGCTGTGAAAGCTTCAGACACCCCAAGGGCTCCCTCGGCCAGAGGCTGCGACACCCCGGCCTGCAGTCCTGTCAGGGGCTACACCCACACGGAAAGTTTGCCCGCGGCTCCCGGGGAAGCTGATGTTCTCTGTACCCGCACCTGCGGGGACCCCTAAGTGACTCCCAGAGCCAGAGCCCACCCACACTCCCTCAGCCCCGTTCACCGCAGCTTGCCCCGGCGGCAGGAGCAGGGTGCGCAACACCGGGAAGGCGGCGGCGGCCGCCGCCTCCGTCACAGGGACCCACCGCCGCCCACCTGCCCAACCCGCCACACAGCGCATGCGCTCAGCCTCCCGCCCCCACCTCACCGCCGCCCACCCCGCCACAGGGCGCATGCGCACAGCCTCCAGCCCCCCCCCCCCCGCCGCGCAGCTGGCGCATGCGCCTTGCCTCCCCCTCCCCGCGCCTGCTTTTCAACGCCCTTCGCCTTGCCCGCGTCCGCCCCCGCTCTCTGCCCGGTGCGGGGAAGAGGGGGGTGGGGCTCGGCTGCGCCGCGCCTGCGCGGCAGGGGCGGGCTACGCAGCGTGCGCAGCTGCTGCCGCCGCCGCGTGGAGCCGCAGATGGAGCCTCCCTCTGGCGCCGCAGGTAGGGGCGGTTGCCGCGCGCGCTGGCC